TAGGTCATCTACAACGGTGTTAGCAGCAGGGGCGGTAATATCAATAGGAGATAAACCATCAGAGGAAACAAGAGGCATACCTGGGTTTATGTCAACTGAATCTGAAATCTCCAAAGGGCCAATAGGGAGTCACGTGGTTTCTTTTGTTGTGGAATCAACCTCACTGTGTTGTTCGTAGGCATTGCCTTGTAAAACACTAGGAAACAGGATGCAGTGGAGATGGCAAAGTGGGTGGAGTAGGTGTGTCAGACACTGGAGTGGACAAAGGAGCTGGGACTGGAAGTGGAATGAATTGTCTACTTCCTTCTCCAAAACACTCTTCTTGAGAAGAATTCCTCAAGAAAAAAGATGTGGACTCAAAGAAGGTGACTTCCATAGTGACATACCGACTCTCAGATACTGGATCATAACAACAACACCCCTTTTTGATTTCCTGCATACCCAAGAAAGACACTTCTTCGCCTTAGGATCCAGCTTTAAGCGGTGAGGACCAAGAATATGGACAAAACATACACAACCAAACACCCTTAAAAGATATGAAACACCTCTCCCTCAGGAAAAAGAAGTCAATGTATGTATAAGAAAGTGCTTGTGCTAATGAGAATCTTAACTTCACTGTTAGTTAGTGCAACAATGATGGTCATAGATGATCTCACAGCTGTAATGAATGTAAGCCATCACTCGCCTTGGTTGGCTACCATAACCTTCATCTAGAAGCAAAAAACTTTTGGATGAAGGGGTTGTCTGGTTGTAGCATTGTAGGTAAACAAGATTTGATACTGCACTTCTTTCTCTATTCTTTTTCTGGTCTAAGAATCTTGTGGAATTTTCCTTTTGTTTTTCTTCTGATATTGTTCTTGTTGTAGAATCTGAGTGGTCCAATGTCTTCTATATTGTGATATTCGTTTTGATTCTTACAGTATGATGAAGTATCCACAGGGAAGACTAAAATGCCAATGCAGTTTCAGGTTTGTTAATTTGTTCTGTTAACCTTATCCTGAATTTCTTAATAGGTGTCTGAATAGAGTTTGGTTCTGCTTATCACAACACATTGCTAGCCACATTCATCCAGCTACACATTGGGAATATTGGTGATATAAAGTACGAGAGATGTTTCCAATGTATGACTGGGTGAATGTGGCCAGCAATGTATTATGGTCAGCTGATCTGTACTCGTTTGAATATGGGAGAACAATAATATTTTGTATGTAAAATCTTTTCCCTCCAACTGTTAAACTATGTCAAATGTGTATTTTAGTCAAGTATCTATTGGTAGCTCTCTTGTATTATGATGTGGCTTCAGATAAGGTATTTTCCCAAATGAACTATTATGACGTGGATCTAAAATGGCTTGTGAACCTAAATAGGTTTACTGTAAGACCAGATGAGATATTGGGAATAGCAGGGTTTAGTAAGTAGACATGGAGTTTGAACAGAAGGTAGGGGGGACTTGGACAAAGCCAGATGTGCTGTCAACAGGAAKCAGGAAGGACAATCTGGGGAATTGACTCCTAGGTGCTGTTTTAATTGGAGTGGTGCTGGGTATGGCATGCAGGGGAGGGATGGAGACTTGCCATAACAGACTATTTCTTGCTCCTCCAAGAAGCAATATTACCTTCAACAATGTGTAATACCTAGTAGAGTTCTTGTTATCAACTGGCCCAGCCCAATCAACATTAGTATAGGCTTCAACTTTTAAGTAATCATGAGAAGTATACAGCAACCCTTTACCAGGAGTACTCTTCAATTAACAAAGTATCAGCTGGTTTAGCACCCAGCTTGTCTATCTCCTTTAATAAATCAAGGACATAATTCCTCTGAATTTCTGGGTGTAGTGACTTCTATCCTCAAGAAATATATGAGTTCATCATGATCTGTGATCTCAAACTCAGCAGCTAAGTATTGTTTTAATTTGGATATTTTAGCCATACTACTTTAGATGTGAGTCTGTCCTTCAACTCTAATATAAAACTGAAAAGAAATAAGAAAAAGTGAGAGAAATAAAGGTTACAGCAGAATAGAGGAAGAAGATGGAGAAGAAGAGAAAGAAGAAGAGAATTCAGTGGTTCTCTTTCTCTCCCTTCACTAATCTTTTATTAAACTTAATCAACCATGCTAATTACAAGTCTGCCCTTTAAGTGGGCGGCCAACAAAGCAGTAACTTAAAAGAACTTAAAAAGTGGTTAACATGCCCATTAACACATGAAACAGATATAACATTACTTAAACATAAAAGAAATATTAGGGCCCATTCGGTCCAGTCTCTCTACAAAAACATTGATAAAATGGTTGTCAAACCACCATCTCTATTAATAAAAATAGTATGACCATAGATAGATTAACCCTAGTTCAGTTCTAGGTCTGAAATATGTAAGAAGAAAAGAAAGCGAAGAAAGGGTTCGGTCAATGAGAGAAAAAGTCACTTCTCCCAGCTGACCCACTTTGTATTTATATTTTATGTGTTGGATTACGAAAGATCATAGTTGTCAAGGCGACGCCTAGGCGACAAGGCGCCCTTTGAGGCTTGTCTCACCTAATTGCCAAGCAGTTTTTTACTTCCTACTATAAAATACTTTTTTGAGATTACAATTATAAAATAGACATTATTTTAACTAAAATAATCATTTTGTGTGTTTATATACTAAATTCTTTTTATTGTTTTCTTATTTATTAGGGTTTAATCAACACAAACATTGCTAAATGCTGTATTGAACCCTCAAAGACTTCAAAACCTGAACCAATAAGTAAGGAAGAACTTTAAATTTTATCTAGTCAGTACATTTTATTCCTATAACAAAAACAAGGGTTCATCCCCTAACTGAGAATAGCCTTTGGCCACTAACCTGGCCTTTAATCGTTCCACACTATCATCTGGGAGATACTTCACTGTGTAGACCCACTTACATCCAACAACATGCTTACCAAGGGGGAGAGTGGTAAGCTCCCATGCGTGATTGTGTTGCAAAGCAGACAATTCCTCTTCCATTGCTTGTCGCCACCCTGGAGAAGTAAGAGCTTCTTGGATAGTCTTAGGAGTGGAAACAGAGGATAGCAAAGATATAAAATGGCGATGGGAAGTGGAAAGGTGAGCAACAAAAACATAATGAGAAATAGGATGAGATGTACAACTACGTTTACCTTTCTGCAATACAATAGGAAGATCAAAGTCAGAAGGAGGTGCAACCATAGGATCCGTCAATGAGGGTTGAACTCGAGGAGGGGCCGATGCTCTTCTATGAGTATACACTTAGGTGATTGGTGGCTTCTCAGTATTAACTTGCACTAGGGAAGGCGGTGACGGAGATAGAACAGGAACCATAGGAAGGGGGTCCAAATGGAATTGGAAGTGGAACCATAGGAGCAGGAGGAGGGACATTTGTACTCGAGAAGAATGGAACAGACTCAAAGAAAGTGACATCAGAGCACTCAGCTTTGATGAGAGCTAGGGTTATAACACTTGTACCCTTTTTGGGTTCTGGAGTATCCAAGGAAGATGCATTTGGTAGCATGAACATCTAACTTGTCTAAATCAGGCCCAAAATTCTGAACAAAACAAACACAATCAAAGACTCTAGGGGTAAGAGGTAACGAAGAAAGAGTAGGGAACATGACTGGAAAAGGGGATCGACTTCCAAGGATGGATATGAGCATCTGGTTGATGCAGAAACATGATATTTGGACAGCATCACTCCAAAAACGCTTTGGGACATTCATATCAAGCATAATGGACCGAACAGTTTCAAGTGTCGGTTTTTCCGTTCAACCACACCATTTTGTTGTGGGGTATAAGAATAAGAAGTTTGATGAATTATCCCATGGTGCTCTAAGTATTGCTGAAATGGTGTTGAGGTGTACTCTTTTACATTATTTGAGCGAAGAATTTTAATATGAACTCCAAATTGGGTATGTATTTCAGCATAAAATTTTTTGAAAAATAGAGAACAATTGACTTCAATTTTTCATAAGATAGAGCCATGCCATCCTTGAAAATTCATCAACAAAAATTATAAAATACTTGAAACCATTATATGACAGTACTTTGTTTGGACTCCAAACATTTGAATAGACTAAAGAAAAAGGATTCAGAACACGACTATCAACTTTAGAACTAAAAGTGACTCTATGGTGTTTCCCAAATTGACACGACTCACAATCCAACGATGGAAGACGAGTTAGAGACGAAACCAACAACTTTAGATCCTTGAGTGATGGATGGCCATGTTTGTTGTGCCACTGGAGAGGGGAGAGGTAGAACCATTAGCAAGGGTAACTGTTTGAGAAGTAGAAAATGAAGAAATGAAGTAAGCTATATATGGAGTCCTAGACATATGATCCGAGGCTCCAAAGTCAATGATCCAATGTGAGGGTTTGGAAGCCAAGCAAGCCATACCTAAATGGGCAAGAGTAGTTGTGTTTTGTTGAGAGGATATTTGAAGAAACTTCTCATATACCTCATGTGGGACACTCACCATTTCCTTCCCAAAAGGACCAATAGATGTGGAGTGGATCTGATCAGTTTGCTGGTTCTTAGATTTTGGGTAGTTCAAAGTGTAAGAGGACAGACTTGTATATCGCTACCGTAGCATTGTGAACCACAGTTCATAGGCTGAATACAATTACAATGGAATGTGGATAAGAACCTAGGTATTGACTGCGGCACATCACCTATATTCTTTTGCATAGAGCTTACAGACACGAGATGATGGCCTGTATAGTTTGGTAGCAATGATGGCCTGTATAGTTTGGTCATTGGTCCCCACTCTATGTTGTCTTTGTCGWATGATCCTAGGGATCTGAGCAATAACCAACTTCGGAATGTTCAGGAATCATTCCTTCCATGCACGCGTGCATAGTTCCCCTACCTATAAATAGGGGGGTCCTTCCCTTCAAGGGGGACTTCTAACACCTTTGTGTTCCCCGTTGCCTAACATCTTCCCAAGCTGAGACTTAGTTTCCATTCCCTTCAGGGGGGACTTTTAGCACCTTTGTCTTTGAAACCCTAATTTCCCTAGTTTCCATCTTCTCAACTTTTGAGCTTAGATCATTCACACCACCGCCTTACACAAAGTTACCTGATATTGAGGATGTTTTCTCTCATCTACAGAGAGCAAGAATGACAGTCACATTCTACCATGATAGTTGACCTATTTGCCTTAGTGGTTTTTGGGGTAGTGGAAGAGTTAATCCTAGTGGTCCTGGTGGCTGTGGTGTGTTTATGTTGGAGGATGAAGTGAGACAGGTCTTGGTTGTGATAGGGCCAGAAGTTTTCCACTACGACTTTGTTATTGTAGAGATTTCCATGAGGTTAGATTTTGCCCTCATTTCAGGCATGAGGACCATATAGTTGAGCTTTGTCAGTTGTTGATTAAGAGTCAAATGTCCAAGGCGACAGTAGAGTGGAAACAATGATATGGATGAAGAGGATATAAGCAGTTATTGTGGAGGGCAAGCTCTGAACCTTCCTTTCTCTTACCAAAATTCTGTTATTTTTTAAACCACAATATTTGGGAACATTTTTCTGATCTATTTGGTTCTAGGTGTTACTGACTATAGCATATATTTGACCCTTCATTTTTTCCAAGAAAGAATCGGTAAAAATAGTGTTGAGGTGCACAAGGAAAAACAGTATTATGGATAATTTGGGAATGATAAATCCTCACAATATTTTCAAGCAAAATCTTACCATAGGCATTAATTGGGGTGGTACATAGGGGCCATTAATAGGATAAAGATTTGGGAGTGATATCTTAATAGAATGTTCAGTGGTGGCATCATCTTCTCCAAGGATGGATGGAAACTATATTGCATGAATACCCCTATCACAACACGGGATAAAGACTGAACTTTGATGGATGTAATCTTGGAAATATAGGTGAATGAGGTATAGGTGGTGCATTTAAAGACCACGGTGGAGATTGCAATGACATTTTCTGGGCCAATAGATGGGGGAACCTAATAAGAGAAGAATTGCATGGTGTTGCATGGACTATATAGGTAATTTTAGTGGTCTGCTGAGTCGACAGTTGGAACGTTTGTGGCACCTAAATCTTCAAATCAGGGAAGCAGAAGAATGTTGCATACGCTGATCTGCAAGGTCTTTTGCTCGAGAGGGAGTAAAGTGACAGTCCCTTTGGGAATGCTATTCTTCAAGTTAAAGCAAAACTTGTGTTGGGTTCATTTTTGATTCTTGGAGTGGAGGATTGAGCAGAAGTGGTCTGGCTCTTTTCCAAGGAAAATATAGAAATATCTTGTACCATGGTGTAAATGCTTTGTACATTTTTCACACTATTATTACCTGTTGCTGATTAAAAAAAAGTTGGTGATGAACAGATATGTGCTTTGTAGGTCAATGATGTTGATCTAACTGAAGTAGAGGGTGGGGAGGTTGCAACTACAAATTTGCATTCCTGCAATGGCCCTGAGTTTGTTATACAACTTCATTTTTCCATGAATCAATTCACCTCTGCAAAGAAAAGTCCTGGTGAGCAGTGCTTTTCATTTTTATTGATGTTTATGATTATTTTTTTTTTTTTGATAGGTAGTGTTTTTATTTGGCTATATCTTCTCATGAGCTCAGGTAGTATCATGGTTTGGTAAATCACAGGAAGCCAAAAATGTTGGATGACATATATTTGACTGATTTCTATCATTGTCATACTTTGGTTATATGTTAAAACTAGTCATTCTAGATGACTGAAACACTTACTCTTGATAAAATTACAAAATTTACTGAAATGTTTTATTTACATGAATATAAAGCCATGAGTAATGATGAATGGTGGGGGAAGAAATGGTAGGTCTATTTTTTACTTGGTTAAGGGCATGAACAAAAGAAACACCAAGGCAAACACCAACCAAAAGAAAAAGAAATACAAAGGAAAAAGGTGCTTTACAGTATCCCTTCACTATGCCTAAAATTGCTTTAGTTGAAAACAAAATCCTTTCTAAATTGTTGAGATCTAGGCAATGGTCCCTGATGAATAATCTACTAGCGTCAGGATACAACTGAGAAAAGGACTTCTTCAGAACTTTTGTGGTTATTTTCATTCCAAATTCTTGAAAAAATATTTGAAGGAACTATTGTCCAGATCAAATTAGATCTGAAGACAAGAACAAGGGTGGTCAAGAGGAAATCACATATCTAATCGAATCAAGGTTTAAAATGTCAATGTCGGTCATCCAAATATAAGAAACATGTCGGAAATATGATATGGAAATATTGTAAAAATTATAGGCATGGTGGAAACATTTTAAAATATGCAAATAATAGAAAGATATTTTATGAAATGATAAAAGAAGCATAGGCACACCCTTTTAAATTATTATCTTGTTGCAAATCATTAAACAAAGCTAAGAAACTAAGGTTATAGACAAAAGAATACGTTCTGAAGTTGCCCTGTAAACTTTAAGATTCAGAGCTTCATGATAAAATGAGTTAAAGCAAAATTTTAACTCATAGAAAATGTAAATGATTGTAATAGATCAACCAAATAATCTATTACACAAACAAAAAACTAATATTTAACTTCATGTTTGAAATGAATATTGAGCTAGCTCAAAGTGGTAATCATGTAAGTTAGGCGGACAATAAAATTGTTACTTAACATATTTAGAATATTTTACCAACTTATGTTATAATACAATCTCTTGGACTCCACATAGTACTGGTAGTGTTCACTGGGAAATAAGTTGATTCCAGTAAAATTTCATGTCACTACCCATGAAAGTGGAAATGAAAATATGTTGTGGAAACTATTTGTGGTACTCCACATAGTGTTGGTAGTGTTTATTGGGAAATGTCGATTCCGGTAAAATTTCATGTCGCTACCCATGGAAATGGAAATATGTTGAAATATTAGGGAATTTAGGGACATTTTAAACCATGAATCGAATGAAGGGCTGATTATTGGTTGTTGAAAATAGAGTTAACAAATTCCAAAAGCAAAGTTTCTAATGACCACCTAAAGAATAAGTGATTCACAGATTTTTTGTTATCCTTGTACTACACGTTTTTGGATGTAGGTACTTATCATTTAGATGTTGTAGTGTGGAAACTTTATCAAGTATGACAAACCACGGAAAAGCCTCTGTTGGGGACCAACATATTATACCCTAACACAACCAGTCTCAACAGATTCAGTTAAGGTTGATCTCATCCCTTTTTTTCTAGTACAGTTGGGGTTATCTCTAATTCTGAAACAAAAATACAAGTAATCAATCTCTCTGCTCAGGAGTTATCTTGTAAACGTGGAGCATATTCATTCTGTGGAGAATATAATTTCCTGATGGTCCTGCCAACCTGATTGGAAACCCTGTAAAAATTTGGTTTTAGGAACAAAGGTTTTGAAAGCTGCACCAATTGTCTATGCAAAACCAAATTGTGCTTTGAATGAACATATGCACAAGCATATCGAGAGGGATARCTTCCCAAACCCAGAATGCCTATACTAGTTTTTGAAAGTAGTTTAGATTTACTGTGATGCAGAAGACTTTTATCAATCCTTGCCCAGATCTAAAAAAGAAGGCTAAGAGAATGATGAAATATAATTGCAAGGGACGCAGCAAATACCATAAAATGGTTAAGAGACAAGGAGAGGGGTGGGGGAGGACCTTAGAGACTGACTTGGCAGAGGCTAGGAGCTCCCTGAACTGCCTAAATGCAAGACTAACTTGGATTCCTAGGGAGCTAAATCACACAGCCAGATGGATTAGCCAAATGGGGTGTGTTTCTGGAAGAGTTGTATAGTGATAGATTACTTCCTCTGTAAGCTTTGGGGTTCTACCCCTGCTATGTACATCTTCTCATGTACCTTTTCTTTCTATAATGAAATATGGTTAAACTTTCCTCAAAAAAAAGAAAGATGAAATATAGTACTGTTCATGTAAACCTCCAACTTTGTGCAGAAGATTTAGATATCTTTTTTTTTTTGTTAAGTTAGATTTAGATTTTTACTAATTGTGTTAAATTGAAATTTGAATAGAGAAGGAATAAAGATGGAGCCCATCTTTTATGCAAGAAAAGAAGAATGGAGGTGGAAGAAGCCCTTGTTTCGATGGACCCATGTCTCATTTAAGACTCGAATATAGATTATTCCTATTGGCTGCTTCCTTTTCTAAGGAATCAGCTGTAGAGTTTGCTGTTTTGAGCACCTTAACAAGGCACTGAACTTAGATGACAATTGACAAGGATATGGCCTTTCTTACTGCATGAAAGTACTACAAAGTTATACAAAGTTTCTATTTGATAATTGCCCCATCCATCCGCTAAAAACCTGTGGATACCCCTATACATCTAAAGGGTTTGCTTATATGCATAAGCAAACCTTTGCAAATAGGCCCATTAAGCACATGTACACTCGGGGACCTTGCAAGTAGGCCAATACTTGCTTGTGACGTAATCAAGAACGTATAAATAGGTCACCAAGTGATGCAAATGAATACAAGAGTTTTAGTGGGATGGGAAGGGAAAATATTCTGGAATATTCTTCCCTTCCTATGTTTGGTTTGTTGTACATCATGAGACGGGATGGGAAAAAGGTGGAATTATAGATCTCAATTCTTGGGATGTGGAATCCCACCATTTTTTGTTGGAAATAAGTGAGAATGGATGGGGAAGTATTTCTAAGAGTTAATAACTTAATATTAGATATATGTGTTAGACAGTTTTGTATGCCCTTAGCTTCAATCATTTTGATGTACTTTTGTTATTTAGTGGAAATAAATAAAGTGCATGTTTGATTCATGTTGTTTGGTTTAATTCTGTGTAAAACCCTAAAACTGG